CCACTTAAATGTGATGTTATAAGGGCACTGGAAGGGTAAATTGACAACTCTCAGTCATGAAGGAATTTAACTCTTTAAACCCTGAGTTTTTTTCCACCGTTTCCCAAGAGTTTTTTTCTACAGTCACCTAAACCTGGTACACTATGTCTTATTGTAACCCCAAAAGCTTGCCTCCAACTTCTGAATAGCGGAAACAAAGGCTTAGTCATTACTAAAAATTTGGTTCGGGAATAGTTCTGAAAAACAAGCAAAATCTAGCACTAAATTGAACGGAAAAAGTTGTCACTAGCATTGGACGCTCTTAGCGTCCGGTGGGGAACGAGGTTCTTGCCGCCGGACGCTGGTTGAAAGAGTTATACTGTAGTTAATACCCCGAAAAAAAACCCCCAAACAAAACCTTAAGATCTCCTGTGGTCCCTCCCAGGTCGGAGAGTGGTGTGCTGAGCAGCTTTGTGTCGTACTTCTCGCTGTCGGAGTCGTCGAGCGCCAAAGGCCCCACGGTGGAGGAGCTAGAGGCGGGCAAGGTCGCGGCGTCGTGCGTCAAGGACTGCCAGCTGGACCAGCTCATCATCGACAGCAAGTTCCTGCGGGAGGACTCACTTCAAGAGCTCATCAAGGTAGGTAGCTGGCTACTGGCTGTGTATGTGCATGCTTACTCGCTCACTCCTTCCTTTACACATGCATTCATGCGGGCATACATGCGCATGCGCACACGCACTCACACACGCACACACGCACACACACACACACACACATACATGAAGGTGCATGCACATACACTTAACACACACACACATGTGCGGACACGCGGGTGCATACAAGCACAAACACGTTCACACATGCACACTGTCTGTCTGTTTTTCTTGCTTCTAAGCCTAGCGCTAACTGACCATTTTTGTATCTTTGTTCTTTTTACACAAACAAAACAAAACAAAACAAGCCTTGTATTATAATAATGATAATGATAATAATAGGTAGCCTTTGTACCACAAATCCCTGCTCAACAGAAAGCTCTTTACCCGTAACAACCTATTTTTATTACCCCAGCAGACCTGATAGCATTCTGAAACTTCCCTTGTCATGTTGTTTCTCCTAAATTCGCTGGGTTCCTTTGATGGCATGTCTATGAATTGACCCTTTTGAGTTTTTTTTAAAAAAAACTTCAGGAAGTGACGTAAAATTTGAATCATGCTAAAGAACCCCTTCCGTAATTAAATGGTGTGGTGTTTGCTTCTTCTTTCCTATCAAACTTCTATCGTCCTTATCTCCCTTTCTTTTTTATGTTTTATTACTCTCTTGTAACAGCTCTAATTTTCTGGCGCTCATATGACCTTATGCAGTTGCGAGTGCCGTAAAACTCCTCTTAAAACTAAAAGAGTTTTTTTTACTATCGTGAAGTGACATAAAATGAATCATGCTAAAAAACCCTTTCCCTAATTAAATTTTTTTTTCTTCCCCTTGTGCTGTCCAGGCGCTGGTGTCGATACGTCAAGGCACGGAGGACCAGAGCTGTCTCAACGGCCATTACGACGAGGACGCTTGTATCTTCTTCCTCGAGTTGTTAGTGAGGGTCGTTCTACAGAACAGGTCAGTAGATGAGTTTTGTTTTCAGCCTTAGTGTTTTGTTTTTTAAATTTTAATATTTTCTTTGTACAAGATGTTGGATAATTTTCTTGAAGTTCACCAAATCTTTCTCGTATCCAAAATTTTCAACTTTCGAAAATTGCTCTCAGATCCTTTACATACATCTGTATCCCTTGAATCTCTGTCTGTGACTGTTAGTGTTACAATAATTGTGTGTAACACATTATTAGACACTTATCATTCGTTCCTTTTTCTACCTGTCAGATGGTGTCACTCTCATAGAAATGAGCAAGGGACAAAAATGAATAAATAAATAATAATAATAATGATAATAGATTGCATTTATATTGTGCTCTATCCCATACTAGTATAAGCTCTGAGCGCTTTACACCAATCACATGATCATTGAACATGAGAGAAAATATTTCACAGAAACAAGAAAAACCAAATCAACTACATAAAGAAGAACTTTCACAATCGTACATTAATTATATACAGGAAAGTACAGTAGTAAAAACAAAATTTATCAGCACTTACTAACACACTATTACTAAGAATTAAGCCAATGAGTCTTGAGCAACCGCTTAAAGGTATCAAAGTTTGCTATTTATCTGAGATCTTGGAGCAAGGAGTCCCAGATTTTAGGGCCAAAAAATGAGAAACTTTTCTTGCCAAAATAAATAAGCAAAACATGTTGGTTCTCCCTCGCAGAGATCGCGTGTCCCCCGTGTGGCAAAGCGTGCGTGACCACCTGTACAACGTGATCGTGAACAGCACCAGCCACTCCTTCCTGGTGGAGCGGGCCGTGGTCGGGCTGCTCCGCATCTCCATCCGTCTGCTGCGCCGGGAGGACATCGCCGGCCAGGTGCTCACCTCGCTGCGCATTCTGCTCATGATGAAGCCCAACGTGGTGCACAGCATCAGCAGACAGGTTGGTGGTTACGCCGTTACGCCCTTTCCTTTTTTACGCAGTGATTCTTAACTCTTCTTCTTCGCACAGGTTGGCGGTAGCGCCCTTTCTTTTTACACAGTGATTCTTAACTCTTCTTCTTCAGACAGGTTTTCTTTTTATGCGGTAATTCTTTACATTTCTTTAGACAGGTTAGTGGAAACGCTCTTCTTTCATGATGCAGTGATTCTTTACTCTTCTTCAAACAGATTAGTAGAAACACCCTTCTTTTTATGCAGTTATTCTGTCCTCTTCTTCAGACAGGTTAGAACAGCAATTCTTTACACTGGACAGTGTCATTATGATATTTTTTTTTTAAAGCACAAGGGGGAAAGTGAGAAGTGATCGTTTGAACCGGTGATTGTATCGAACAGGTGGGCCATCAGAGCAGGGTCGACTGTTTTTCCTTTCTTTATATTCTCGTCTAATAGTCATGTCAAACAACAAATAACAGGTAAACTCAAAAAACAAAAACGAACCCCCCCCCCCCCCAAAAAAAGCAAGCTATTATTTTTCCCTCTCTGTGTGTTCTCAGGTGTCGTACGGCCTCCATGACCTGCTGCGCACCAACGCGGCCAACATCCACACCAGCCAGGACTGGTACACGCTGTTCACGCTGCTGGAGGTGGCCGGGGCCGGGGCTAACCTGCCGCCCTTCATGCAGGTGTGCACCGACGTGGACGTGTCTGAGGTCATCAGCGACGCAGGTCAGTACTTTATGCCGTGTCTCTCTCTCTCTCTCTTGCCCTTTTTAACTCCCAGTGGAGCATATGCCATGTACAATATTTCTCCAGTGAAACCTGTCCTGTGCATCCTTTTCTAGCTGTTTCCTTGATGTCCCCGCCTTTTCCATTTCCGCTTGTATCGCTCGCCTCCATAATCTTCGGCACTTACATGATCTTATTGTGTTGCAAGTGCCGTAAAACACTTACTAAAATTAAAACACTCATTGTACTCCCCCCCCCCCCCCACAGGAGCCCAGAGTGACAGCGAGGTGGCCAGCGCCAGCGGCATGTCAGACGTCAGCGACCGGGGCTACACGTCAGACAGCGAGCTCTACGGGGGTCAGCAGCGACACGCCAGCCTGCCCGGTCAGCTGCTGCCTCAGATGCGGCCCGTGGAGGAGCTGGAGCTCAAGCCTGTGCCGGACAACGGGAGCTGGTTGATGGTAACTTTGGAAGTAAAACTTGTCTCATGTGTAGTTCCAATATATCTGTAACTTTGGAAGTAAAACTTGTCTCAGCATGTTGTAGCAATATTTCGGTAACTTTGGAAGTAAAACTTGTCTCAGCGTGTTGTAGCAATATTTCAGTAACTTTGGAAGTAAAACTTGTCTAATGTGTAGTACCAATATATCAGTAACTTTTGAAACGTGTAGTACCAAATATCGGTGACTTTGGAAGTAAAACTTGTCTCAGACGAATTACCAGTATATTGGTAACTTCCGGGGAACCCATTTGGATGTATTACCAATATGTCAGTAACTTTTAAAAAATTTGTCTCAGAAATATTACCAGTAGATCTGTATTGGTTCCTTTTGGCAACACATTTGCACATGTCGCGGATTTAGTTAGTTTTAGTAAGGTTTTACGGGGCTCACAACTGCACATGGTCATATGAATGCCATTATCGCTCATTTATCGGTAACTTCAAAGAATTCATTTGGATGTATCACCAACATATCAGCAATTTCCAGGGGACACATTTTGATCTGTTGGCAATATACCGGTAACTTCTGGAGAACGCATTTGGGTGTATTTTCCATAATACTCGTACTAAAACTTGAAAAAAGACTATATGATCAATTTGTGCACCCCTTAAATGACCAATTTGTGTTGCAAGAGCCATAAAACTCTTACCTAAAACTTTAAAAAAATTTGTAAACCTATTACAATTTTGTGTTCCAAGGTCCATAAAACTCTTACTAAGACTTAAAGAAGTCCATAGACCAATTTGTGTTTCAAGTGCCGAAAAACTCTTTTTTGTGTTTGTTACCCTCTTGTAACACCTCTAATCTTCGGCACTTATAATATGACCTTATTGTGTTGCAAGTGTCGTAAAACTCTAACTAAAACTAAAACCTCTAATCCTTGGCACTTATATGACCTTATTGTGCTGCAAGTGCCGTAAAACACTCACTAAAACTACAACAACCCCCCTCCCTCCCCCTCAGGTGAACAAAGAAGAGCACCCGGCCAGGATGCCCATCAACCAGTACAGCATCGACCTCAACGAGAACACGCTGTTCCCCGACAGCCGCGCCCTGCTCAAGTCCTCGGAGACCTTGACCTTCCTGGTCCGCGATGCGGCGCATGTCACGCCGCACAACTTTGAGAGCTGCGTCCACTGCATCAGGACCTTTGTGGAGGCGGGGGTCAACGGAGGTCAGTTGTTGTTTGGTTTTGGTTTTTTTGTTAGTGTTGTTGTTACGTTTTTGTTTGTTTGTTTGTTTGTCCTCTGTGTGTTGTTATGTGGTGGGTGGGTGGTTGGAGGGTGCTGCTGGTAGGTCCTACTTCTTTGCCTTTCCCCTCTCTTTTTTTCTTTCTGTCTGTCTGTCTGTCTGACTTTTTCCCAGCACTAAGTGACTGTCATTATGTGGATGTCCTTCTCTTTCATCATCATCATCCAGTTCCAGATCTGCGACAGACATCGGCGATCATGGTTTTCCATTCATTCCTTTGCTCGGATGCTCTCTTTACTTGAACAAAACATGCTGTTATGTTGTTGTAAAAGTCAGTTGTTGTTGTTGCTGTTTGACTTTGTCTGCAATGTTTTTTTTAATTTGTGGATGGTTGACGGGTGCTCCAGTGTGGTTTTGCTCCTTCTTTCCTATCATATATATATTGTCTTTATCTCCCCTCCTTCTATTTTGTGTTTGTTACTCTCTTGTTACACCTCTAATCTTCGGCACTTATATGACTTTATTGTGTTACTTTAAATTTTATTTTTACTTTTATCTGCCGCTTATACTCTTTTGGGTGTCGCGGGAAGAAAGAGACGTCTCTCTGCCACTAGCCGGAGAGCTTGGGTCAGGGGGATGCCGTGGGTGGTTAATGTTTCCCTGACTCCGTCTATCCAGGTCTTTCTCGGTCACCCTCTAGCCTTGTTGCCATCGAAATCTTTTATGTAGGCACATAAAACTCTTACGAAAATTAAAATTAAAAAAGCAGTTGGTGATGTTTTGCCTTGTGGTGTGTCTACACAGGCCGAGTGCGCTCGACCCCCCCACGCAGCCACTCCATGCGGGACTCCAAGCTGTCCCGGAGGAAGAGCAAAAAGGACAGGTCGGGCTCCAAGATGAGCAAATCGTCGTCCACGCCTGAGCAGCTCGCAGACGGCCAGCTCTCGGACGAGGACGGAGAAGAGGCCACGCAGAGCAGGTCAGTTCTGTCGTCTCGTTGTGCTCATCTGTTACCCCCCCGGGGCAGTGCCACTGACTGAAGTATCTTTAGGCCATTACCAAAGAGGGGACATTAACTTGTTCTTATGCACAGTAGAATTGTAAATGGGCTGATTCATCAATGTCAGGCTCATAACTGTGCCTGATCTACTACAGGGAACTGCTGCTTTTTCTTTCCTAATCCTTACTATGGTCATTTGTCCTCTACTTCTTTTGTATGTTTGTCACACTCTTGTGACCCGCTATTTCCGGGGTGCCTTGATAGTTGAAACAGGCTTTGTGCTGTTGAAGCTAGAGAGGTGAGCAGAGTAAGCCTGATTCCCTGTAAGGACTTCTCTGTTGACACCCACCCCTTGGCGCTCATATAACCTTATACAGTTGCGAGCACCGTAAAACCCTCAAGTATAACAAACTAACTTCTTTCTTTTTCTTGTGGACACGGATGGGTGGTTGGCAGTGCTCTGGTGTGTCTTCTTTTTCTTTTTCTTGATCGCATCACACTTGAAGTTCGGTATCTATCAATAGGCTATCCTGCTCAGTTCATCTGTTGTCACGTACATTTTTTCTGGTAGGGTCAATAGGGTTGACTGACCATGTTTCCTGTCTCATGGCCCTGTGTGTCTTGCAGTGCAGAAGGATGTGTTCCACTGTTTGGTCCGCCTCTTCACACTGGCATTTTGGTGATTGCACTAATTTAAAATGACGTGTTTTACTCCTTTTCTTAAAAAAAATCTGTTTTCCTTATTTCTCCTTCTTTTCTTTGCATGGAACTCTCTAGCAATACCGCTAGAATCTTAGGTACTCATGTGACCTATTTATGTTGCGAATGCCATAAAAGTCTTACTAAAAATCTGTGCACAGTGTTGTGAAATGCATTACTCTTTTCGCGATATGATCATGATAGACTTTGATAGTTGTGTCCTTTGTAATGTGATAATTATGTGGGTGGACAAGTTTTAGGGTTTGGTTTTTTTTTGTTACTATGTCGATGACTAAATATGGAATTGACATGAATGTTTCTTATTTTGTATCTCCACAGTTTGCAGCTTTTGTCTATACAACTCCTTGATCTGATGCACACACTGCACACAAGAGCTGCGTCTATATTCAGGTTTGTGATATAAAGATGATTAAAATCTGTTGTTTCTTATGTCTCAGTCAAGTGCTCTCGACTTTTTGTTTGTTTTTCTTTTCTTATTTGCAACTTGAAGATGAACGTGTTCTCACTGAATGTGGGTAAGTGCAAGATTGATGGCGATGAGTATGTTCGCGCGAGTTTGCTGAGTTTGCAAGCGTATTGTGGTTGGTACTATTTCCTTTTATAAATTCTCTTTTGTGGCGGGGAGGGGGCAATGGGTTCATGATAATGAAGGAAATGTGTTCTTCAGTGCTCCAACTTTCAATTATTAAGAGGGTTCCTTGCATTACAAAATTTTTCAGATAAAGTATGAAGTTAACCGTTATTACTCACTTCACTGCATTACACTGCTACTTTACCAAACTTACTGGAAAAAAATGCACGCATTTGATATATATGAGTAAATTTTTCTCTTTCTCTTTCTTTTTCTCTTTCTCTTTCTCTTTCTCTTTTTCTTTCTCTTTCTCTTTATCTTTCTCTTTCTCTTTATCATTCTCTTTATCTTTCTCTTTCGGTGTCATCAGTTCGTGGGCAAAAGAAGAGCAGGAGCCACATGAGGCAGACGCTAACAAGTCGGCCGTGAGTGGAAACGTGGCGGTGAGCATCCCTGTGCCCAGTCTGGCGGTCGGCTCAGGCCCTCGGCTGGGCTCTGGGACTAGCACGCTGTGGGGCAAGTGTTGGTGCCCTTTGCTGCAAGGTCAGTGCTGGAGATGCCCACATTGGGCTGTTTGATTCTTCGGTAATGCTAGATAGATCGTCAGCCGGCTTTAAAATGTACTGAATCCAAAATTTCCAGAAATTTAAAAAAAAAAAAATTGCTTCACCTGTGGTATCGGTAGCATGTGCTTGAGAAATATTTTGTGGAAATTCAAATTCTAAATGTTATTTTTAAAAAAAGCTCCCAAAATTGCATAGAACCTCTACTAAAGCTAACAAAAGAATATTTAAGAACATTCCTTCGTGTTTTTCGACTGTTAGGATTAAGTAGTCAGTCCGTCATGTATTTCCGTGTTCCCCCCCCCCCCCCCTCCCCCCTCCAGGCATTGCGCGGCTGTGTTGTGACGCGCGGCGACAGGTGCGGAGCCAGGCCTTGACCTACCTACAGAGGGCGCTCCTCGTCCACGACCTGCAGACCCTGAGTGCTGTGGAGTGGGAGTCTTGCTTCAACAAGGTTCGTCATCTCACACATGCCAGGCTCTTTTATGTGTCGATTTCTTGTAACACCTCTAATCTTCTGGCGCTCATATGACCTTATGCAGTGGCGAGCGCCGTAAACCCTCTACTAAAACTAAACTAAACTCTAATCTTCTGGCACTCATATGACCTTATTGTGTTGCAAGTGCTGCAAAACTCTTAATAAAACTAAAAACTAGTCTGTGGTTGGCGGTTGCTCTGGTGTGGTTTGCTTTTACTTTCCTATCAAACTTCTATCATCTTTATCTCCCCTTCTTCGTTTTTATGTTTGTTACTCTTTTGTAACTCCTCTAATCTTCTGGCACTCATATGACCTTATTGTGTTGCAAGTGCCGCAAAACTCTTACTGAAACTTTAAAAAAAACCCTCTTAGTAAAACTTAAAAATAATACCAATATACCTTGTTGTGGGCACTAGAGGGTTAAGTGATTGTTTTTTAAAAATCTCTCCCCCAGGTTTTGTTCCCTCTGCTGACCAAACTGTTGGAGAACATCAACGTGTCGGACCCTGTGGGGATGGAGGAGACCAGAATGAGGGCGTCCACCTTGCTGTGTAAGGTCAGTCTCCGGGGACGATTTTTTGTTGTTTATTTGTGGTGTGTCGGGGGGGGGGAGTAGGGGCTGAGTGGTTAGGCTCTTGGACTCTCAACCTGTCCCCGTGGTTTTATGCCCCCACGCATAATTTAGCAAAATTTGATAATTTTTTTTTCATAATTTCTGATTATTTTCCTTTATCTTTCTTTGTTAAAATTGACAGAATCGCATAATTTCCCATTTTTGGGCACATTTTGCATAATTTCAGACTTTTTTAATATAAAAGGACGCAGACAGATCAACTGCAGGGTCGGGGTTTCGCGTCCTATCAGGAGCCCAGCGTTGTGTCCTTGGGAGAGCCGCTTTCATGTCTTAACAGGGCACCCATTCCCATCCGGGTGAAGGGAGGAAAATTTGTGTTAAGCGCCTCTCCCAAAGACATTTCACTGGGCCCTGATAGAAGGGATGGAGGAGACGAGGATTAGGGCGTCCATCTTATTGTGTCAGGTCTGTCTACAGGGACGACTGTCGTTTATTTGTGGCGTCGGGGGTTGAATGATTAGGCTCATGGACTCTTAACCATAAGATAGTGGTTTCAAATCCTATCAGGGGCCTGATGTTGCGTCCTTGAGAAAGACGCTTTACGCAAAATTTCCTCACTTCGCCCAGGTGGTAATAGGTATCCTGCCATAGATACGAAAGGTTTTGTCTGTGGTTAAATGTTTTGAGTTCTTAATCGGTTGCGTGCACTGAATGCTTCCCGGAAAACCGAGAATGTTTCTGTGTGTTCTAAGGTCTGTTAAGGGTAATAATAGTTGTAAAGTGCATAGAGCTTGCTGTAAAGTGTAAACCAAAGCTCATTAATTGCTGTGTGTTCAATAGTTGCATCAACGGTTTACCATCGTCTGTGTGTGTAGTGTGAGATAGGTGTTCTTGCTGTGATCAATGAATGTATCAACAGTTTCATGGGTGGTTGGTGGCTGCTCTGGTGTGGTTTGCTTCTTCTTTCCTAATCCTATCAAACATGTATCATCCTTATCTCCCCTCCTTCTTTTTTGTGTTTGTTACTCTCTTGTAACACCTCTAATCTTCTTGCGCTCATATGGCCTTATGCAGTTGCGAGCGCTGTAAAACCTCTACTAAAACTTTTTTAAATGAACAGTTTTGTGTGTTGGGTTTGTTTGCCAGGTGTTCCTTCAACATCTGAGCCCGCTGCTGTCACTGACCACCTTCACCGCCCTGTGGCTGACCATCCTAGACTTCATGGAGAAGTACATGTGTGCAGACAGAAGTGATCTCCTGGTGAGTGACTGTCTCTCTCTTTTCTCTTTTCTCTCCCTCTTTTCTCTCCCTCTCTCTGCAATTATTATTATTGTTGTTATTGCTATTATTATTATTATTGTTGTTGTTGTTGTTGTTATAGTTGTTGTTACTATTATTATTATTTTTATTATTATTATTGTCATCATCATTATTATTATTAATTCTGTTTTGTTATTGTTGTTGTTATTATTATTATAATTATTATTATCATCATCATCATCATTTTCGTCATTGCTTTTATTGTTATTATTATTATTATTATTATTACTATTACTATCATTATCATCCCCACCAGTCTGAAGCCATCCCCGAGAGCCTGAAGAACATGCTTCTGGTGATGGACACGGCCGGCATCTTCCAGACAGCCGACGGCACCGAGTCGCAGCTGTGGCGACTCACCTGGGACAAGATTGACACCTTCCTGCCCAAACTGAGGCTGGAGCTCTTCAAACCTTTTGAGCCAGGTATGTCGTTGCTTGTGTGGGTGAAAGAAGTGGGAAAGACCAGGTGGAACTTTGAGAAGAGTCGTGGAAACGGATGTACAGAAAAGTGGGAAGATGTGGAATCACATCAAGCGAGTGGGTGGTTGGCGGGTGCTCTGGTGTGTGTTGCTTCTTCTTTTCTATCAAACATCTATCATCCTTATCTTCCCTTCTTCTTTTTTATGTTTGTTACTCTCTTGTAACACCTCTAATCTTTTGGCGCTCATATGACCTTATGCAGTTGCGAGTGCAGTAAAACCTCTAATAAAACTATTTTTTAAAAAAAAAGATGAAAGGGAAAGGCCACGTGGAACCTGAACAAGAGTCGCGGAAATGTATGTACAGAAAAGTGGGAACACATGGAGTGACATCGGGCGACAAACTAGCCAAGGATAGAGAAAGGTGGAAAGTGTTTGTGCGTGGCCTATATCCTGATCCAGGGTGTGAAAGGCGATGATGATGATGATGATGATGATGATGATGATGATGATGATGATGATGATGTTGGTTGTTTGTTTTTAAAGGGTTTTTTTTTGTTACCTTTTTTAAAAAAAAAAAGTTTATGTTAACACTTACAGTACGGAAGGCTCGTATAGTGAAAAACTCTCAAGTACTGCACCAGTTTAGAATGCTGAAGTCAGGGTAGAAAAAAACCAACAACCTTGGCAGCCTAAGAAACACGCTGTAAAAATTCACAGAGGTTCATCAAACATTCAGCTATCAGCATATTATAGAGTGACTTCCCTTGGTATTTACTTCAGTGCAGTGCGTCCATTTGTCGTTTAATTATGTTTAGTGTGCCTGGTTGCGTCGCCGACTATATTCGCCAGTAGTAGTGAGCGCATACTATGGCCTGGCGACTAAAGTCGCGGACGGTACTGTAAGTGTTAAAAGAAATGCAGTCTTCTAGCACGCATGTTACAAAATGGGCAGGGCACAGAAATCTTTTTTGTTATGTATGATTTTCGCTGTGTATGTGTTTGAAATACATGTGTATAAAAAACAATTTTCGATCTGAAAATCTGATTGCTCTGTTCGCAAAGGGTGCGCATTTGCGAAGAGGGCGCCACCGAATTTTGAGGACACTTTTTTAATTGGCTCAAAGAGAGGAGTGGACCCTCTTGTTATGTAGACTCTTTGGTATGGAAGTAATAATGGTTATTTAGTCCAGGAAAAAGCAAAATAGACAGAGGCAAACATTTTTTAAAAAAGAACAGAAGTAGAACCAACCAGTGCCACCCTCCAGCCATCAGCTGGTTAGTTCTTGTTGTTGTGCTTCAGACTTGGATGAAAATATCTTGGAAGGAAAATGTGAAGAGTGAATACAATTGTGAATTTTGTTCTTTATGGAGATTATAATTTTTTGTTGTTGTTTTCTTGTGTTAAAAAAATTAAAACTGAAGGCTTTGATGATGATGATGATGATGCAAAGTGGGTTGTTGGTGGGTGCTCTGGTGTGGATTGCTCCTTCTTTCCAATCAAACATGTATTGTCTTTATCTCCCTTCTTTCTTTTTTTGTGTTTGTTACTCTCTTGTAACACCTCTAATCTTCGGCACTTATATGACCTTATCGTGTTGCAAGTGCCGTAAAACACTTACTCAAACTAAAACTGATGTTGCAAAGACGACGTCCGAGTTGTGGGGAGTTTGTTTAACCAGTCTTTTAATATTCTTTTTTCTTCTTTTACTTTTTTTTCCAGAACCAAAGCCCGACAAGATAGAGAGAAACGATGTGAATGCGGAAGCGAGGGACGCGAACCCACAAGTCGCGTCTGCAAATCCAGCCTCGCAGCAGTCAGCAGTTACCACAACAGGCCAGCAGGTGGCGCCGCCACCGCCACAACCACACTCACAAGCCCCTCCCCCACCACAACAACAACAACAGCAACAACAACAACAATATCAGCAACAACAACAGCAGCAACAACAGCATCAGCAGCAGCAGCAACAACTCCCCCCATCCCCCCAGCATGTGCTGGAGCAGCAGCGAGTGTCCCCGTCACAAGGGCAGACAACTCACGTGGCCGTCGCCGATGACGACGTGCCCCTGGAAGGCATCACTGTCGTCAGTCATGAAGGTAGGGCTCATGTTGCTTTTCTTCTCGCCTTTGGCGCTCCTACGACCTTGTGCAGTTGCGAGTGCCTTAACTCTTTATCTCCGAGGGGGGTAAACCCACTACGCCGGGGCCCTTTTTAGTTAGGTACTAAATCTTAAAATGACAAAAACGTGACTAAATGGGTCATTAAATAGAAACTAGCGAACCTATTATGATAGTACTTCATCTAATGAATGAACTTCCTGTAAAAGAGACCTGTTTTTGGCAATTGCTGAAAAGTATAGCATGTATTTCTTTACTCAAACTGACTATCTGACCGTTATTGTGTCAATGGGGGTGCAAAAACAGCTACATTAACACTTGCAGTACCGCTGGCGACTTTAGTTGCCGATGCATCCAGGTGCACTAAACGTAATGAACACCATGCCCCCGCGGCGACGGCAAAGATAGTACATAACAAGATGGGCCACTCGGCCTAAAAAGTGTCAGCAGGAAGTTCGCTCTTTGCTTCAGATGGCGCTGCAGTCTGTTTTGAAGCTCTCTTTCGTTTTTCCAGAAGAATAGGAATAGCACCTCCTTGCGTGCGCAGATCGACTGCTGTTCATCAGCCGTTCGGGTTCGTTCAGTACGGAGTTTTAGTTTTTTTATTATTTTAATGACCTCTCGCCTTTCATTCTAAAGTCAAATTAAACTAAGAAAACAATCACCCTTTCCTCCGGAAGAGGTTCTTTGTCAGCATATCCATTTAAAAAAAGTGTTCATCCGAAATTCATTAAAAAACTTGCTAGTTTCACTTTGATTTTTTAAACTCAAGTAGGATAACTCTGTTTGCAAAAGGTGCGCTTTTGTGAAGAGGGCGCCACCGAATTTTGAGGACACTTTTTTAATTGGCTCAAAGAGAGAAGTGGCCCCTCTTGTTATGTAGACTCTTTGGCGACGGTAAGAAGCTGTATCTTTACCCCACGGGATGCCGGTCGGCGACGGTGTGATATAGCATATACCGCACCAGTATCTTGGTCCGTGGGGATAAGTTTTGCGCGTTTTACGCTGTACGAGCTGCGTGGGTGAAAAGTGTTGAACAAAGAATGGACGCCCCTGCACTGAAAAAAATACCCAAGGAAGTCACTCAATATGATAGGTTGTTGAACCTCTATGAATTTTTTTTAATGCGTTTTTTTGGGGCTGCCAAGTTTTTTTTCTTTTTCTTTACAAATAAATTATACCATGACTTCAGCGTTCTAAACTGGTGCTACGGTACTGGAGGTTTTTCCACTATATGAGCCTGCGGTACTGTAAGTGGTAAATCGATGTGTTTTTTCTATCCTCAAACAAAACTCACACTTGTGTTTGTGGGTGGTTGGCAGGTGCTCTGGTGTGGTTTGCTCCTTCTTTCCTATAAAGAATCTATCGTCCTTATCTCCCCTCCTTTTTTTGTGTTTGTTACTCTCTTGTAACACCTCTAATCTTCGGCACTTATTTGACCTTATTGTGTTGCAAGTGCCGTAAAACTCTTGCTGAAAGTAAACTCAACACTCGTGTTTCTCAGAGCGTCCCGGCAGCCCGTTGATGAATCAGCCCGCGTCGGCCGCCACAGCCGCCTACATCCTCCATCCACCTCTACCTCACATTCCATCCACCTCTGGGGCAGCTGAGTAATGTTGTGACTTCTCCTCCTCGGTGTCCTCACGGATGGAAAGAAGAAGGTAGGAAGGAGGAGGCTGGGACACAAGATGTCACGGAAGGGAAGAAGGAAGGAAGGAAGATGAAAGGAAGAGGCTGAGACACAAGATTGATGGTCGCTGATGTGGATCAAGATGCAGCCACTGCTCCAATACCTACCCCCCCCCAACAATGTGTTGCATATAAAATGTAGCATCGTCAAACCTTTTTCCAGCAAGCAAGACGTATGTTTTGCGGCACCGTTATTGTATAAACTTTGATCTTTGTGTGGACTTACAAAAAACTTTACTGACAAATCCGATATGAGATTGAAGAGTTTATTTGACTCCAGAAATTTGATTTTTTGACTGGAAAAGGTGTTACGTTACACTAAGCAGTTTTGTTTGTGGCTTCTTGTTGTTCCCAACTAATGGCTTTGTGTACCTTACAGGCATATTAGTTGTCTGTTGGTCTTCAGTAATGAGGTAACGGTCTGTTATAATCGGAGAATCGTGGTCTGTCGTTGTGGCGTTTCAGCTGCTCGCCGTTGCAAGTCCTGTTTTCTGTCCCGGCAAATTTGGCCGACTCTATGACAAAGTTTTCAGTAATCTGAGCTCTGAGGTGTGTTCTTCTCACAAACCGGTTTTTCGTTGTTGTGATACAATTGTATTTTTGGATAGCGCAGTCTGAAAGAAAGGATCTTCCTTAACTTGATCGGTTTTGGGGTTGTTTTTTTTTAGTGTGCTCTTCAAAGATGGGTCATGGGAATGAACAGCACCTTGCTTGACCGGTCAAATCAGTCACTTTATCATCTCAGTCTCTCAGCAGGAAGTTTGACATTTCTTTTTGTATTGCCATCGTTCTCATTATAATCCGATCTCCTAGCCATTGCGGACTTCCAGCTTGAGCCAGTTGAACTGAGGAGATGAAAACTGAATATCTGTGGTAGTTGGTCAGACATGTTGGTCTATGTTTTCTGTGCTGGTGTGGCATTTACCACATTCTATGAAATAATGTTTGCATTGGTCAAGTGAAGCTTCCATTCCTGTCACTTTGTGGAGTTTCTATCTTAATCAGATGCCGCGACTGGAAGGGATGTGAGAATTCTTTTCTTTTTTTTCTTTTTCTTTTTGACAACCTCCAAAATGTTGATACCGCTCAAATACTTCCCTTCCCTGTTTCTGGAGGGTCTTTCTTCTCCTCCTGAACAATTACTGACGTTTTTTGTCACAGCTGAGGACGATAAGTAAGCAGTTGTGCTCTGAGCCTCGTCCTGGTCTGTTGTAGTCCTCTTTATAGATGGGGGAGGGGGGGGACTTACAACAGATTCCGTGTGGGTTTTTTTTTTCGTGGGATTGTGCAAGGCAAGGTTGTAGAAGGCATGTAGTTCTAGTGCCCCTTCAGTACAAGGTTTTTTAAAAAAATAGTTGTTTGGTTTTTTTTCCCCATTTTAGTAGGAGACATTGAGAATGGAGCACTTTGCTTTTCTTCAGTGTGACGACCACGCATGTGCTGCCAGATGATCACTGTCTATGGAATTTTCATCCAATCATGCGCTCGTGAGTTTTGGCATTTTGTACCGGTCAGTACTTTTACTGTTGAAGGAGTTAACTTGTGGATGGTAGCGTAGATGTCTCGAGGGATGATTTGGTTGTTTACTGGGCATTTGTTCTTGTGTGTGTCTGTTGTACATATGGCTGTCTTGGAGTTTTTGGTTGTTGTTGTTGTTGTTGTTGTTGTTGTTGTTGTTTTTCCTATTTATTATTTATAAGTGCTTCCTGCAGATCTTGTCCGTTGGTCACGACTGAATTGTGTCGTATTTGAACTGTTGTCTATGACTTTATCGTTTAAGATGGCGGGGGGGGGGGGAGCGGATGGGTTGTAGTTATTTAAGGTGAAGGTCAAGCATTTTTCAGATTATATACGGCAGGTGAATCTGTGTTTATTTTGCGTGACGATTAACTTAATGCCACGTTCTTGCACACTTGCATAGTATCGGTGTTATATATAAGTTACAGTCGGGCACACACATAGTGAACAGGCACATAGTGAACTGGCTCATAGTGAACTGGCTCATAGTGAACTGGCTCATGGTGAACAGGCACATAGTGAAGTGACACGTAGCAAACTGATTGTCGCCTCAGGGATTGTGTTGTTCAAAGTGCACTCGACAGATGAGGAGTCCACTGAAAAAAACGGGCATAGTCACTAACTGAAAATAGTGAGGGCATCAATTGTCAACGCTTGTTGACTCATAACTGTATTTCTGTTCAGCTGTTGCTTGATTATTGTTGTTAGATTTCCCATCCAACAAATATATAAAATAAACCATCCAACAAATATGTAAAATAAACCACCAATCAAATATATAAAATAAACCATCCAACAAATATATAAAATAAACCACCAATCAAACAAATACGACGTTTTGTTATGAGTCCACCTTCTTTTAAAATTGACCCCCTCACAATTTCCAGTTTGTGACCCAGCCCGTTTTTTCAGTGGACTCTCAGATAGGTCAGTACACTTTAGACAAAATAGTTCTGAGGGGACAAGATGTTCAGGTCTCCAATATTTTCTTACTTCTTATACACGTGTATTTTCTTTGTATTTAAAACAAGTATACATTATAAAGACATTCATACATAACGAAAAGATTCTGGCCGATTTTTCCATGTTCGTGCGAGACTTTATGCAGTTGGAAAAACAGGAAAAATGAGACAACACTTTTGTGAGATTTTCTGTTGAATTTTCATCACCAAGTAAATAGTCAAGAGTCTGAGAGTAAATAGTCAAGAGTCTGAGAGTAAATAGTCAAGAGTCTGAGGATTTCTTGAGCCCTCTGGGCGGACATTTTTTGTGTGATTATTTTTGTTCCCCATTGTTATTCTTGTTGCTGAAGGCAGTATAGAGGAATATCATTTTGATTGTTGAGCGTGTCTCTCTGACTGTCACGGGATGTATAGCGGAGCATGTCATTCTCAGGATGGTTTGATTTCAACGACCACCAGAACTTTGTTTGCCGTGATGGTGAAAAGAAACTCTATGCAAGCTTTCTTGTTTCTTGCCTGAAACCTCCCCCCACCCCACACCCCGATTGTGTCAAAGCTTGCGCCGACCGAAGGATAAGATTTATGTCACAGTTATTTCAGCAGTGTGTCATCTTTCGCTTGATTTATTTTTAAAAATATTTACGTATTCATTTTTATTTTCTTTTTGATCATTCGGGAACATTTTTCCTCTCTCATATTGTCATCTTTTTGCACAGGTTGGGGTTCCTGCTTTTTATTTTGTATCATAGACTTGGTTTTGAAATTTTCTTTTAAAAAAATAAATTTGACGCTGTTTAATTTGAAGCTGTCATGACATAATTTTATAGGGCCTCCTTTTCTTTTGTGTGTGGTTATTAATAGCAAGTTGATTGAGCTGGAAGTGTTAGTGTCAGATGAATATTTATATTTTGGAATCTTTGTGGCAAAATCAAAAGGTTGGAAGCTTAGGGTGGCCATTGAATAAATGAAATGCAATTAAATATACAAAAGTGTAAATAATCTGTGTGTGTGTGTGTGTGTGTGTGTGTACCATTGCTCATGACGACGTTTGGACTGTGATATGGGTCGCATTGCTGACCTATCTATCCCATGGACAAGGGCTGGACGTTCTATCTACCCATTCTCTCTCGGAAACGGTTTCCACTTGGCTCGGGAACAAAAATAATGGAGCTGTGTCTGTACATAAAAAATATATATATATATATTATAACATGTGAAAGTCGCCCTCGCGCGTACAGTTGAAATGTGTGGATTTGTTTGTCATGTTTGTAACTTGATGTGGAGATGAAATTGTGTGCGTAATTGTACGCGGATGGAGAAAGGTTTGTGAAATGTTTTTTAAAAATATATATATAAAGATAATATTTTCTGCTGATGCATACCGTCTGGCCTAACTGTGATCATTCTGTTTATTTTATATGTTAAACTACGTATCTTCTTCTGTCCCCATGGTTTTACGCACAAAAAAATTATGAAATTATGCAAACCCGACCCAAAAATGTGAAATTGTGCGATTCTGTTATATTTAACAAAGAATGATAAAGGGAAAAAAATAAGAAATTATGCAAAAAATGATCAAATTTTGCTAAATTATGCGGGGTGCATAAAACCACGGGGACATCTTATTTCAGACAGACAGACTTTCACGTGAGAAAAGGTTACCTTTCACGTACAGATGCTCACATGTACACACGATGATACTATGATAAATTTTGGAAGGTGCCAACAAACTCACCTTGCTCAGTCGGCTCATGACGTTGGTTTCTGAGACAGTGTTGTTGCTGGGGAACCATATAAATGAAGAGCACAGGGGAAAAAACGACGGTGGTCACAAACTCGAAATTAAGCTTGTGGACTCATAACTTCATATTTGTTTAACTGGTAGTTTATTGTCAAGTGTTGTTGAATGGGAAATCGGACAACAATAATCAACCAACCGTTGAACAGAAGTACAGTTATGAGTCAACAAGTGTTCAAAATGGTACCCTCACGATTTTCAGTTTGTGACTACCGTTGTTCTTCCCCTGTAGTCTTCATTTGTATATATATATATACAGTATAACACAGATAGCTCGAATTTGCCGGGAATGGCCTCAGTAGTTTGAGGGATGTGTTGTTTCGAGGGATATCTTACAAAGATAAAGAAGGGAAAGAAAGAAAAAAACCGGGACCGCAGGCACAGTTTGACGGATGTGTGATTTCGAGTCTTCTGTGTTCGACCTATCTGTGTTGTACTGTTTATATATTATATACTGTTTCTGCATTCTTTCCTGCAATATTGTTTGTGTGATCTTTGACTTTCAGCGAACTGTGACGTGAGAAATAATTCAGTGTCTTTGGAAGTTTGGAGTCGACCTCGAAGATGATGTTGTCCTTGAGATTCTTGTGTTGACATTGACCTTGCCGATGTTGTCCTTGAGAGTCTTGTGTTGACATTGACCTCGCCGATGTTGTCCTTGAGATTCTTGTGTTGACATTGACCTCGCCGGTGTTGTCCTTGAGATTCTAGTGTTGTACGGTCGGTGTTGAGATGTTGTCTGTTTTCACCATAGACTTGTACTTCTAGATGGCACACTGTCATGGCCGTCCCTCTTTCTTTGATTTTTGTGAAAACTTTGATGTGAAATGTGGCCCCCATGGGCTGTAGGCCTTTACGCCTACATAAGAGGCAAAAAGATTAGTCTTTATGTTAGAAAATATATGTCGCCTTTCCCACGTGCTCCTCATGCTAGCTCAAATTGAATCAAATCGTGATCTCCAAAGTTAATCAGCGACAAGTCAAGAGTGCATTGTCTAGGTTATAATGGATATTCATCTTTTCCATGGGTTACTCTCAGATGCGGAAAGTCCGGGTTCGAGCCTCGGTTCGGACACAGATTTTTTTTCTCGCCCCCTCCTGCTCACCCAGCAGTAATAATGGGTACCAGACTTCATATTGGAGAAGTAAAGGCGGCGTGGAAAGGAACTGGCCACCCTACCACAATATGCAGAGGGCCCAGGAAGTTGTCTCACTAGCAAGGCAATCCCCACTGTCCTGATCGGATGCGGGAACAACTTTACTTTTACTGTCAGAGATTGTTTCCTCACTGGTGCATCTTCTTGTTGTGGTGGTCCTCGTCTCGTAGTCTCCCAGCGACCAGCGTGATGTTGTCGTCATCGTTGTAATGGTGTCTGTGGTGTAGTGGTTGTACACTTGGCTGTCGGACGTAGGAGATCTGAGTTCGATTCCAATTCCCAAGTAAGGAGAAATTTTTGCCAAGCAGCTCGGTTCTCTAATAGAATCCTCAGGGTTTTTTTCCTTCACTATTTGAGCAATCTCTGCACTGAAAACAGGAGGGCTAAACCGAAGAAAATCCAGTGGTCTCAGCAGGACTTTTGGTTTAAGTTGACTCTACTGTATTGCAGTATCTCCAGTCTCTACTCTCTTCAGAACCAGACACGGTGACATTTTCTCTCTTGCCTTGTGACATTGTGTCCTACTCTCTTTAAATATTCCTTTTCCCTTCTGCGTTCTCTTGTGAGGTCTCAGGGCTGCTAGTCCATGACAACAGAGGGCTCGAGCGACGTTCTGTTTTGTTTGGCAGAAAATATACGGAACCTGCTGGTTTCACTTAGTACATGTACAGGCTTCCGCTATACCAATGTTATCGCTAAACAAAATGTAAAACAGAGTTCAGTGTCGTGTCTAATTCTTATCTCCAGATGGATCTCTCTAAACTTTCTTGCTTCTGATTGAGAAAAGCTTTCCTAATTTTGTACGCGCAATAATCCCACCATCTCTGCGGAAAAAATGACCATAGCTCTTGCTTTAAGAATAGTGTTTGAAGACTACAGGGGAAAGATGACGGTACGGTAGTCCCAAACTGAAAATTGTGAGGGTACCAATTTTGAACGCTTGTGGACTCCTAACTGTATTTCTGTTCAACTGTTGGTTGATTATTGTTGGTAGGTTTACCGTTCAACGGCACTTAACAATAAACCACCAGTTAAACAAATATGAAGTTATGAGTCCACAAGCTTTTAAAATTGGCACCCTCACAATTTCCAGTTTGTGACTACCGTCGTTTTCCCAGTGTGGTCTTCATTTGTATTAGTACTTCTAGTTTACTTCTAGAGCTACTCCTGCTGATTGGCATCTGTATCTGTGTTGCAGCAGTTAGGCGCTTCACCATCTCACACAGGAGATATCCCGAGATCGATTTCTGAGTTGGGCAAAGTTTTATCAAGTATCTCGGGTCTTTCTGCTTGGATGTTGTATATCCCTCTCAGCCCAGGGTTAGCCCTGACAGGCAGGGTTGGAAGCCCATCACCCTAAGTAGTCGAAAATTGTGTTGATGGAGGCATTAATTGAAAACCATTGTTCTACATTTGTAATGAAAATGTTTGTCGTGTCATCCCTCGTGTCTCCGCCCTCTTATGACGCGCTGTTTGGTGGCATAATATTGTTCTGGTTCTATCCACAAAGACGTTAGATTGTGGTGATGGATAGGACAAAGTTCAGCCTTCATCGAGTTTCTTCTCTACTCCCTCTCCACTTTTTTTCTTTCTTACTTACTTTTTTCTTTCTCCCGTACTTATATATATTTTTTACTCCACTTTTTTCTCTTCTACATTCTTTTTATTTTATTTTTTTTCTTTGCCTTTTTCGCTCTTTTACTTTTGTTCTGTACTCCCTCTCTACTTTTTTTTTTTTTTTACCCATCTCAATTCCCCTCTACATTCTTTTTATTTTATTTTTTTTCTTTGCCTTTTTCGCTCTTTTGCTTTTGTTCTGTACTCCCTCTCTACTTTTTTTTTTTTTACCCATCTCAATTTCCCCCCCCCCTCTTTATCATCATCAGGATCAAGCCAGTTTTTTTTGTTTATATATCTATGTTTAATGAGTTTGTTGAGCAATGTCGTGCTCTTTCAATGCCATACCACAGTTTTGGCGGCAGATACAGCCTCTATAATAATACGTCATGTATATTTATAAATAAATACGTACCACACTGTGGCCACACTCGTACTGTTTTCTTTTTGTTATTTTTTCTGTTACTTATTATAATTTATATTATAACATTATAATATTTTACGACATATGCCTGCCTCTTGGTGCGAAGGAAGGGATGATAATACTATTGATTGATTATTGTTATTGCGTTATTGTTATTATGATTATTATGATTATTTGCATGATGTACATGGTGAATGTTCGGTCTTGTGTGGTGATCAACCAGTTCTGTTGTCTTGATTGTTCGTTCGTCTTCAGTCATGTGTCCAATCGAAAGATTAATGCAAGTTTTACTCGATTGAATAAAGCAAAAATTATCTCATAAGGACCTACAAAGCGTTTTTTTGGTTGTTGTTGTTTGTTTTTTCCATAAGGACCAGATGAGTGGTTGGCGGGCGCTCTGTTGTGGTTTGCTCCTTCTTTCCTTTCAAATATCTATTGTCCTTATAAAATATCCCCTCCTTCTATTTTATGATTGTTACTCTCTTGTAACACCTCTAATCTTCGGCACTTATATGACCTTATTGTGTTGCAAGTGCCGTAAAACTCTTTCTAAAACTAAAGCTCTGTTGTGGTTTGCTCCTTCTTTCCTTTCAAATATCTATCGTCCTCATCTTTCCATCTTTTTGTTATAATGGATACTTGGTTGGTGCTCTGGTGTGGTTTGCTCCTTCTTTCCTATCAAACATCTGTCGTCGTCATCTCCCCTCTTTCTATTTTATGTTTGTCAGTCTCTTGTAACACCTCTAATCTTCGGCACTTATATTATATGACCTTATTGTGTTGCAAGTGCTGTAAAACTCTTACTAAAACTAAAGCTCTGTTGTGGTTTGCTCCTTCTTTCCTATCAAACATCTGTCGTCGTCATCTCCCCTCTTTCTATTTTATGTTTGTCAGTCTCTTGTAACACCTCTAATCTTCGGCACTTATATTATATGACCTTATTGTGTTGCAAGTGCTGTAAAACTCTTACTAAAACTAAAGCTCTGTTGTGGTTTGCTCCTTCTTTCCTATCAAACATCTATCGTCCTCATCTTTCTTTCTTCTCCCCCCGGGGCAGTGCCACTGACTGTAGTGTCTTTATGCTATTCCCAGGGGGCATTTCTTGTTCATGCACAGTAGAAATGTAAATGGGCTGATTCACGTCACTCTCATAACTGTGCCTGATCTACGACCGGGAACTGCTGCCTTTTCTTTCCTAATCCTTACTATTGCCATTTTCCTCTACTTTTTATGTATGTTTGTCACTCTCTTGTGACCTGCTATTTCCGGGGTGCCTTGATAGTTGAAGCAGACCTTGTGCTGTTAAAGCAAGAGAGGTGAGCAAAGTAAGTCTGATTCCCTGTAAAGACTTCTTTGTTGACACGCACCCCTTGGCGCTCATATGACCTTATGCAGTTGCGAGCGCCGTAACACCCTCTACTATAATAATTTAAAGAAATTAAAAAAACTTTCCTTCTTTTTGTTATGTATACTTGGTGGGTGCTCTGGTGTGGTTTGATTAAGCTCCTTCTTTTCTATCAGATATCTGTCGTCGATATCTCCCATCCATCTTTTTTATGTTTGTTACTCTCAGGTAACACATCTAATCTTCGTAATCATGTGATCTTCTTGTGTTGCAAACACAGAATTCTGTGGTTGCAAGTGCTGTAAAACACACCTGGCTTTTCTTTATTTTTAGCAACTACTTTTTAACTGTTGAGGTAAATAATAATAGGCCCAGTCTTAAGAAACGTTACAATATATATATATATATATTATGCATAAAAATATATGCATTACATTATAGGCTGTGGGTGGTTGGCGGGTGCTCTGGTGCGGTCTGCTCCTTCTTTCCTATCAAACATCTATCGTCCTTATCTCCCCTTCTTCTTTTTTTATGTTTGTTACTCCTCTTGTAACACCTCTAATCTTCTGGCGCTCATAATATGACCTTATGCAGTTGCGAGCGCCGTAAAACCTGTACTAAAACTAAAACTAAAAAAACATTGTAGGCCTATATATCCAACTCATGAGTGTAACAACCAACATAATAACATACTAAAGAAATTTGGATGACAAAAAATGGAAAGTAGCTGTTTTCAGCCTCTCAGATCACAACTAAGTTTGTTTAGAGTCTAATAAAATAGTAAAACGTTGCTTGTAAATTTACAGACTGAAATTTTTTAAAAAATGTATCTGTTGGTCGTTACACTTGGCTATAAAATTAAAATACATGTTACATGTGTATTGAATAAGATAAGATAAGATAGATAATATTTTATTATCCCAGAGGGAAAATTTTCATGGCTGTACAGGACCGTAAAAACACGCGCGCGCGCGCGCGCGCGCGCGTGTGTGTGTGTGTGTGTGTGTGTGTGTGTGTGCAGTTGTTTATTTTCCTCCACGCAGATTCCGTGTGCAAGTTGCGCACGTTAAAGATCCCTTGGTGGTAAAAAGTCGATAAAAGTAGGCTTCGGCCGCCACCCGGGCACAATTCAAATTTTCTTACCAATCTGAAAATGTTTAAAGTGTCCCGTGTGCTCATACGACCTTGCAGTTGAGAGCGCCGTAAAACACTTACAAGCACAAACACTAACCAATTAAAAAAAAAAAAAGACCAACGTGGCAACGTCTTTCACTTTGCTTCCCTGGGAAATTCATTCCACCGCTCTTTGGAATTAAAGATATTTTTACTAGTCCTGTAACTTTCTGTTCTCTTTGAAAGAAGAGTAACAATAACAATGGCGAACGGTGGTGGGGATCCTGTGATTTTGGCAACCGCTGGATATGATCATCGAATACGATTTTGGCAAGCTCACAGTGGCATTTGTCACAGAACGGTGCAACACCCCGACTCCGTATCCTTGTTGTTTTGATTTTGATATGACATGTTTCCCTTTGCCTTTATTTTCAACTTCCAGAATGGGCGTGGGGATTTTGTCGTAGTTTTGTTTTCGCACCTCCTCCACTACCCTCATGCCTCATCGCTTACAATCTTACAACTCAACACTTAGACTAGTAGACCCTCTCATGAAGAAGCCAACTAACCCTAATGGCTACCCTGTAGCTTATCCTTTTAAAACTCGACCTTTACATGAAAATCATTTTTCTCTGCAGTCTTGAGAAGTAGATATCTAGAAATCTAGATCTAATCTAGATCTAGATATCTAGAAGATCTAGATGTCCAAAGCCAAAAGCTAGACTGGCTAGACAGCTGATGAGTCTATTGAATTGAGACAGGTGTGCTTGTCACAAAAAAGTGTAGACTTTCACATTTCTCATCTCTGTAGTAGTATAAAGAGGCATTGAATATACCGTGTTATAACAAAGTGCAAACCAATACAAAGAGGCTGTGTCTAGGCATGGTATTGTAACATATTTGAGTCACATTTTTACCAAGTAGGCTGTGGTAAAATGACACACTCATCAACAAGGGCTGCAATTTTAGACCCCTGGGGTGCCAACAATCTGGTCATTATTCGGACCCCGGGGTGCCAATAATCTGGTCATTGTTCGAACCCCCGGGAACAGGTATTAATATGGTCTGCATTTGTTTTTTCTCCCCCGGGTTGAAGAGGCATGATGCATAAAACTTTTATTCCTTGTTGTGTGGAGTTTGAAAATCAATTCAGAAGAAGAGACAAAAACTTTTACAGTTTTATGCCTTAACCAAATTTCCAGCAAGTCAATGCATTGGACATAACTCCAGATAAACAGCTGGTCGCAGCTGCAGGTTTGTATCTATTTATTTGGTAGTTGACAGTACAGTTGGTCACTTTTAAGGACTGAGCCTTTAAAAGGACAAGCAGGCTAACCCAGATTTCGGGGGTTTCCAGAAATCTTGACCTACACGAAAAATGGACTTTGCCCTACATATAGGAGAAGTTAGGTTTCATTTGGTGTGTATATTTGTTTTAGAAAAAACTCTCCTTCGTCTTTTAAAGGAACTGAACAAGGGTAAAAAACTTTACCATCGATTTTCTCAAAACAGCATTTTTCGGGATAGCCCCCTTGTGCTTAAAAGCGACCAGTTGGTTGGTGCTTTAAATTTTTTTTCCCCAGCTGACTTTACAGCACATATGCTAAAAGTGATGCTTGTGTGGGATTTTAGAATGTGAAGTGTTTTTTTTCCCTAAGTTATAATTTCCTATAGCAGTCTGCTGGAGAAAAATCAGAATTAAAATTTTTTTGAGGGTAAAAAGTATTTTCTTTTCAATTCCTTTGAATTAAAATGCTTCCTTTGTAATGAATTTGTATTTAAAAAATAACAAAAATAAAGAATGGTCTCAAAATTATGTCCTGTGGGTTCTTACTTAAATAAGCTTCACTTTGATTGATCTTTTTGTTGATCATTTAGGATATCAACATATACGCATGTACGACATCAACTCATCAAGCCCAAATGCCATCATCAACTACGAAGGTGTTCAGAAAAACATCACGGCCGTTGGCTTCCACGAAGATGGGAAATGGATGTTCACGGGAGGGGAAGACCACACTGCCAAAATTTGGGATCTCAGGTGAGAGCAGTGCAGTGGTTCCTATGTGTAGCATTTAGGATCCTTTCTTTTCTGTTTTCAAGATAATAAGGTATTGTGAAGCAGTTTTTGAAATTTAACACTTTGCCCCCACGGGAAGCCGATCGGCGACGGTGTGATATAGCGTGTACCAAACTTGTATCCTGGTCCGTGGGGAGTGTTCCGCGCTCTGCACGCTGCGTAGGTGGATAATGTTGAAAGCTTTCTTTGAAAGAGCTTACTCAAATTCTAAGTTTTACAATTGTGTAGTAATCGGCAAACTTCTTCTAACATGCAATGCTAGTTACTTAATTCTTAATTCAAATATTTGTTATACTACTGTATTATATACTAGGTACTTCAGGTACATGCTTTTGTATAAATTTAAATTTATTGTATACCTTTTTGTGAGAGTTTATTAACTCAGCTTTTTTATTCGGAATGTGTAATACTGTGACAAATCATTGTATACCCAAAAAAAAGTAAATGTACTGTAATTATGGCATGAGTGGTTAAATGCTATTTTTGTATATATTTCGTCTAAACTTTTTTTCTTGTGGGTCCTAGATCGAGAAGTTTGCAATGTCAGCGAATATTCCAAGTGAAAGCTCCAGTGAACTGTGTTACTCTACACCCAAATCAGGTACAGTGGAAACTGCCCAAGATGGGCACTCGTTGATGAAGAAAAAAGTGGTTGTCTTAACACTTTGCTGTCTCTTGGCGCAATAATGCGCCGGTGAAAATTATCCGTTCTGGTCAGCTGGGTTTAACTTTTATTAAACACTGAACTTTTAATTACAAAATAAAAATATGTCTGTTGTCTGTTCTAATCAAAGGAATATGTATGAGTATGAAACTCCTTGCTGTGTGCAGGCGTATTCAAAGGACTTTCAGAGTTTTAGTAATTAAAATGTTACAAGTCCTGACAATAATGCTTCCTAGTGTTGGGTCGAATTGATTTGTTTTGAAAGATGTTTATCAAGGTTCAAATTTTTCCACTTCCATTAGTCTGTCTTTCACTGCCCAGTTAATTAACAAGACATATTTTTTATTTTGAAAACAGTGGGGATTTTTGCAGAGTTCTAAATCTCTCATGAGTTGTTGTCACAAGTTTTCAATATATGTGATTTTCAATTAAAATTATTTACGATATATTATGATTCTTCCTTCCAATGTATTTCCATGGGTGGTTGGCGGGTGCTCTGATGTGGTTTGCTTCTTCTTTCCTATAAAAAATCAATCGTCTTTATATCTCCCTTCCTTCTTTTTTGTGTTTTTTCTCTCTTGTAACACCTCTAATCTTCGGCCCTTATATATGACCTTATTGTGTTGCAAGTGCCGTAAAACTCCTACTGATACTAAATGTATTTCCTCAGGGTGAGTTGTATGTTGGAGATCAGAGTGGTTCCATTCACTGCTGGGATCTCAAAACAGATGTTAATGAGCACCTGGTAAGATCTATATAATATATGTATAGACAATAAATGGGGGGTTTCATTTCTTGTAGAAAGTTTATCCAATGTTTAAATGAAATTTTTTCACTGTTTTAATTTTAGATGTTCTTTCCTTTTAATTTGTTAGGAATAAACCCACCAGCCTTTGATACATTGCCAAGTGCAAATTTCTTCCATTCCATTTTCTAATTTCTCAAACAGTAGTAAATGCCAGCAGCCCTCATTTGCTCAATATTTATTTGTAAGGAGGTCGGCTGCTTGGACTTCTCCTCCCAAAGCCAGCTGGGGCTGAGTGGGATACGTCATCTCGGCACACAGACAGAGGTCACATGACTTGTTCACTCAAGAATCAAGTTCATATATATATCTTCTGTGATCAAATGCGAAGAGTTTATGACTTCTCCACTCAAGAATCAAATTAGGCAAAGGCAAAGAGTTGAACTAGTACCCCACTCTCTCTCTCTCTCTCTCTCTCTTGCCCTTTTTAACTCCCAAGTGGAGCATAGGCCATCAGCAACATTTCTCCTGCCCTGTCCTGTGCATCCTAGTACCCCACAGATGCCTTTAAATCTGTGGACAGGAATTGTTTGTTGGGGTGAAGAAATGTTAAAGGCTTAATTGGTCGCTTTTAAGGACAAGCGGGCTAACCCAGATTTCGGGGGTTTCCAGATATGTTGACCTACACCAAAAGTGGGCATTGCCCTACGTGTGGGAGAAATTTGGTTTCATTGATGTGTATATTTGTTTGGTTAGAGAGAAAAAACTCTCCGTGTCTTTTAAAGAAACTGAACAAGGGGCAAAAACTTTACCTTTGATTTTCTCAAGACAGCGTTTTTCAGGATAGCCCCCTTGTGCTTAAAAGTGACCAATTTACCTCAGTGTTTTGTAAAAAAAACATTTTCCAGAGGAAAATGAAAACTGATGTTATCTCAATTGTCAGATCCCAGAGCCCGATGCTGCCATCACCTCAGTGAGTATAGATCCCATGGGTACTCTGATGGCTGCTGTCAATAACAAGGTGAGTTCCAACAGGCTTCATCTGGTTATGGTCCCACGTGTTTGTTTGTTTGTTTGCGTCTGCAGTACATTTGCAGTTCTTGAAAGTTGCGCGTTATATTGCTGATGCTCAAAATAAATTTAAAAAAAAAAAAAAGTATGCAAGTTGGTCTTTCATCATCAATGTTCTTGAAAGTTGCGCTTTATATTGCTGATGCTCAAAATAAGTACCAAAAAAAAAAAAGTATGCAAGTTGGTCTTTCATCATCAATGCCTTTCACCCCTGGCAGGGTGTAGGCCACATGCAAGCTCCTTCCATTTATCTCTGTCTTGTGTCATCTTTCCCAGCTCGTTCCGAGTGAGCTTCATCTCTCTCTTGTCCCTAAAGTGGTCTTTACCTCCATGTTTTATGTTCAAGAAGAAGATAGCTTGTAGTAGACTTGTGATCATCAAGAGTTTAGTATGTGCTGAGACTTGCAACTGAAATTTAGTATGGCCTGATAATTCTGTTAACCCTGCCAGTAGCAGAATAAGCGGAATAAGGTTTAAAATGTAACTGCTAACTTGTGAATGGCTGTTCCAGAGAGTGAGACGTTTGAGTAGATTTGCATACCACGCACTTTCTCCATCAGTCCTTGGGGATTTCTTGAAAAGACGCCGTGTCTTATGGAAGGAATGTCTGTAGCATCCTTTAAAAAGAAAATTGTTTCTTTGTTTTGTAATTCTACAGGCTCTCAGGTTGTTGTTTTGTTGTTGTTGTTGTTGTTTTTTGTGCAGGGGGGGGGGGGGGGGCGCGGGGAGGAGTTGTTGAAGAATAATCATTTGTTAGTAGATTATTTAACCCTATCCGTACGTCGTGTATTATCATTGTATCCATACGACGTAGGGAACTCTGTGCCACCACTTTCCAAAGAGGAAATTTATTCGTTAATCCGATCTGTACGCTTTACATAGCAGTCTGTCAAAATGGTTTTTTGAGAAATACTGAAAGTTTCAAAGAGATCTTTGCACTAGAAGTATTCTAAAATGTGAAGAATACAACCCCTGGGGTACAAAATGACCCCAGGGCGTACAGATAGGGTTAAAGAATAATTATTTGTTCGTAGATCATTAAACATATTCAGAAAATTCATCTTTCAAAATGTTTGACTTTCAGGGTAACTGCTACCTCTGGACCATGAATGCCAATCGAGCGCACGGTCCTTCGAATCTGCACCCCAAGAAGAAGTTTCAAGCTCACAACAAATACATCCTGAAATGTCTCTTCAGTCCGGACTCTACGTGAGTGCTGTATTGGTTCATGATATCTGCTGTTTGTTGTTGGTTTTGGATTTAGGTGCTTTTCGCATGTAATATGTACACTAGCTGATGAAAGGAATGATCGGTGCATTAACATCAACTGAAAGTCATTGGCCTACTATATTTACACTATACTGGAATGGAGCAATAAATCTTGAGAGATGCAAAAAAAATTAGATCTGTACTCTCAAAACAAAATGGGCCTGGTGAAATATCACTTCTGGCACTTCCGCTGTAAAGGACAGCTACGCAGATTTGTTTCGTTTCTCAGTGGAATAATCACAAAGGCTAAAGAAGGACGGGAATTTTTTGTCAAATATATTTTTCTAAGTTCAGGAAATGAATAAATAAAAAATCAGGCTCCGTCATGGGGACCTATCTATCTTTTTGCAGGTACTTGCCAACTTTGAACTCTGAAGCTGTCGTAGTTTTATAGGAAAAGTGACACGTGTTTCCAAGTTGCCAAATATATTATAATAGATTTAACCCTATCATTATTGTCCATGTAGTTTCTATATAATGTCAGAGAAAATATATAGCATGAATGTTTATGAACAGTTCTTGAAACTACTCGCAATGTTCTTTTCTAAAACAACCAGATACTCTGACAAAAAAAAAACCCAAAGAAAATTCTGAGCCCAGTATAGTTCTGTGCTCTCGACAGTTATTTTCCTATCATTTTTGCATACTTCTGGTACTGCAGTTGCGAGCGCTGTAAAACTTAACTAAAACTAACTAAAATACTTTTGGTATGTTTAAAATTTCACCAATCTTTCACCATTTCTGTTTACTTGTGATTTTATCACATGTTAGAAATCCCATTGAAGTAAACTGGCCGATAATCCAGACAATCATGATGAATGTTTCGTTTTACTAAATCTTTAAAAATCACTTTGCTCTTGTTTTGAAGTGGGAAAATTAAAATAAAATTTTTTCTCGTTAGTTCCTGTATGTAGGTGGTTGTCTTGTACTATTTGTGTTTTGGCAACTCCCCTTCTTTGTACTAGATGTTGTTCACTTTTCACTACAATCTTCATTTAAATTTCAATTCTGTGTTTGTTTTGATTGTGAGTCAAGTGGTAAAGAAAATTTATCCATTGTTAAATCTGAAACTTGAAAGTTAAACACTTAAAACATGTTTAGTGTACTTCTTTTCTTTTTATCTTTTGTTTCTGTCTGTCAGTCCATCTGTCCGTTTCATATTTTCCCTTCACTAAATGACATGATGACAATTTCTTCTCTTTACTATTATTTAACTCAAATAAGTGGGTGGTTGGCGGGTGCTCTGGTGTGGTTTACTTCTTCTTTCCTATCAAACGTCTATGGATCTTATCTCCCCTCCTTCTTTTTTATGTTTGTTACTCTCTTGTAACACCTCTGGTCTTCGGCACTTATATGACCTTATTGTGTTGCGAGTGCCGTAAAACACGTACTAAAACTAAAACGACCGGGTTTTCTCCAGGCTGCTAGCGACGACATCAGCTGACGGCACATGTCGTATCTGGAGGACGGCCGACCAGTCTCTCTGCACGGTTCTCAAGGACAAGTCGCAGCGCTGGGTCTGGGACTGTGCCTTTAGCGGGGACTCTCAGTACATCATCACAGGTGAGGCCTGCCTCGGTCAGAGGGTTTAGTGGAGTCTCTTAGTACCATCACAGGTGAGGCCTGCCTCGATCATAGGGTTTAGTGGAGTCTCTTAGTACCATCACAGGTGAGGCCTGCCTCGATCATAGGGTTTAGTGGAGTCTCTTCTGCCTCGATCATAGGGTTTAGTGGAGTCTCTTCTGCCTCGATCATAGGGTTTAGTGGAGTCTCTTCTGCCTCGATCATAGGGTTTAGTGGAGTCTCTTAGTCTTAGTACCATCACAGGTGATGAACGCCTCGAAAATTGTGTTTAGTGGAGTGTCAGTACATCGTTACAAGTGATACATGGTTCGAAAATAGTGTTTAGTGGAGTCTCTAGGTGCCTTTACAGGTGATGCATAGCTCGAAAATAGTGTTCATTGGAGACTCCCAGTACGTCATCACAGGTGATGCATGGCTCCAAAATAGTGTTTAGTGTAGTCTCTCAGTACCATTACAGGTGATGCATGGCTCCAAAATAGGGTTTAGTGGAGTCTCTCAGTACATTGTTATAATAAATAGGTGATGCACGCCTCGATCATAGTGTTTAGTGGGGTCTCTAAGTACCTTTACAGGTGATGCATAGCTCGAAAATAGTGTTCATTGGAGACTCTCAATACATCATCATAGTGTTTAGTGTAGTCTCTCAGTACCATTACAGGTGATGCATGGCACAAAATAGGGTTTAGTGGAGTCTCTCATTACATTGTTATAGGTGATGCACGCCTCGATTATAGTGTTTAGTGGGGTCTCTCAGTACCATCACAGGTGAGGCCTGCCTCGAAAATAGTGTTTTTTAGTGGAGACTCGGTATATAATTTCAGGTGAGAGGTGCCTCTGGAAGAGATAATTACAAGTGAGGCTTACTTGTAAAACTACCTTTAGTAAAGATTCAGTATATTTTTACAGGAAAGTATAACATTTTTAAAACAGTTTTAATGAAGACTCAGTATATTTGTCATCATGAAATAGTGGGATCAGGCACTCGTCAATTCTTGGGGATACAGAGTGATTGATATTGTCTCACAGTTGTTCGTTTGTCTTGCTTTTGATGAACAAAATACCTTCTATCTATCCTGAATAGAAGTTGAGATATTCGTGACTGATGTAGGTGGGGGTCGCTTGGTGTCGTAGGTAAACTTAACCCTGTCCGTATGCCCGGGCTCATTTTGTACCCCAGGGGTTGTATTCTTCACTTTTTAGAATACTTCTAATGGGAAGATCTCTTTGAAACTTTCAGTATTTATCAAAAAAATCATTTTGACAGACTGCTATGCAAAATGTACGGATTGAATTAATGGGTAAATTCCCTCTTTGGAAAGTGGTGGCACAGAGTTCCCACGTCGCATGGATACGATAGTAAAACACGATGTACGGATAGGTAGGATTAATGAGATAATGACTGCCAAAGTGGGGATCTGCTAAAATGTCGGACCAAAAACGCTACTCAAACGGCTTTCTAGAATCAAAGAATTGAGTATTATGTATTTGATGTCAGAGATTTATGTATATATGTCTATTTGAAATATATGTTATGCCATTGTAAACGAAATACTTACACATGAATCAGCAAAGTGGAATTGATTTATTTTATCAGTATTATTCAAGGACAACGATGATAGTAGTCTGTCAAGCACAATGGAAATTAGTTTGGGGAGGTGTCGTGGGGACGAATTTTAAAACCGAAATATGAACTCGTCAATTTAATTAAAAAAAATTTTTTTCGTGTTTGTTCCAGCTTCCTCAGACAACAACGCCCGTCTGTGGAGCGTCAACACGGGGGAGGTAAAGCGAGAGTACAGCGGCCATGAGAAGGCCGTCGTCTGTCTGGCATTCAGAGACGAGGTCGTCGCCTAGGCAACTGTCAACAAATGTATTTCTTCCTATGAGAGCCAGATCCGCGTATTATGATTTTGGTGCGAAATTTTTTTTTTCACCAATCGAAAGCGCGTATTATGGGCTTCATTTATGCATAAGTTTCATTGAGTCCCCCGCCTTAAAATCGCTATAAAAAGCAAATAACTGTTTGACTTATCATAGCTGTTTGCTTCCAAATTAGCTCACCTTGAGATGTGCGGAAAGGATTTAAATATTGTTACAACTTGGATGACGCAACAAGAATTACTACGGAACGGACAGTAAAGCCAAGAATTCCTAAATCACTTATCGTATGATACGCTTTTAAGGCTTGATCGTTTCCGATGTGTTGATCATTCATACATACCTACATAAATCAGTTTTTTCTTCCTCCTGAAAAATTGGCTAAAACCTTGATACATGGAACTAGCTCTTATAGGACAATTTCTCTCCTTAAAATAAGCGATTCTCTCTTGTAAATAAGTCTGTCACTGCCGCGAGAAAAATGAGCTGTTCCAACTTTTTTTTTTACTCACCCTAGAGATCTCTGTCAGAGTTACTGGTGGCTTTGGTGATCTTGTGGTTAGGCTGTTGAGCTCTCAACCGGAAAGTTGTGGGTTTGAATCTCGACAGGGGCCCCGATGTTCTTTCCCTGGGAAAGGCACTTTACACAAATTTTCGCCACTTCACACAGGTAGGAACGGGTACTCTGCGATAGATGGCGAAAGATCTTGTCAGTTCGTTAGTCTTTGAGGGCTTAATCAGCTGCTTGCACTGTAATTGTATGCTTCTTGGGAGGCAAAGTATGTTTCTGAGTCGTGATCTAGGGTTTGCAGGGATAATAATATTAATATAGATTGTTGAGTGCACAGAGCTTGCTGTTGAGCAAGGATATGCACTATACAAATACTAGAACCTATTTATTATTGGGATCATTTTTCTGGCGACAGTGACTAAGCGTTTCTCAGTAAAAGGTTAACTGTGAATAACTGTATTTTTGTTGAAGGAAATGGTGTTTTTTTGCTGACCCGGTTAGTGTATTTCTGTGAGCTTTGCTGTAAAAATGTGTGCTTTTCTGTGAAAAAAAAGGGATTTTATGATAATGACTGTGTTGGTGATTGTTTTACTGGTTGAGAAAATGTGTACCGTATGTTAGTTGGGGGAGGGGTAGGTGGGGTGGGGGGGTTACAGTTTTGCTGCCTGAGGAAAATTGGTCGCTTTTAAGGACAAGCGGGCTAACCCAGATTTCGGGGGTTTCCAGAAATCTTGACCTGCACCAAAAGTGGGCATTGCCCTATGTATATGAGAAGTTTGGTTTCATTGGTGTGTACATTTGGTTATTAAAAAAAACTCGTCTTTTAAAGAAACTGAACAGGGGTAAACAAATTTTACCTTCAATTTTCTTAAAACAGCTTTTTTCCGGATAGCCCCCTTGTGCTTAAAAACAACCAATTATTTTTGTATGACTATTTGAGTAAGGTTCTGAGAGTCCGGTTTGTGCACAAGGTATCAGTAGATGTGTAGGTGTTGTGAAGATGTCCAAATGTGAGTTTAAATGGGAGAATGTTGTATATTGTACAGGCATACGAGAGATCTAACTTTACTTTTGCATTCTCAACCTAGTCTCTCTGAAACTGAAACAGTTTTAGTCTGGTTTTGTACTGACGATGCTGTAAGATGTAAAAATGTCATCTTAGTTCTTGCACCCATTCTTCTTTTTATGTAAATCACTTTTGACCATCATGTGCTATTCTTTTTTCTAAGGGTTTCCTACTGACAGTAGTAACAGAGAACGTGTGATCTATTGAGGTAGTGTCAGTATCAGGATTTGACTGTCTTGATTTTGTCCCTTCTCTGGCTGTCGCTGCATTGTCTGCTTTACAAACTCTTTGTATTCCTCAAAAGTCTTTCTGCCTTGTGTCATGCCTTTACTCGCACTACTGTGGTGATTGGTCGAGACAGAAAGTTTCCCACTCATCCACATAAATGTAGCAATCTTTCAGTGAAGTCTTCACAGTGTTTTTATATCATTTTTTGGAGGGGTGCTGATGTGTGTCATGACGTAGTGGAATCAGGCGCTCGTCAATTTTTGGGCATATGAGGTTACTGATGTCATCTTAAAGTCTGTTCATTTGCCTTGCTTTTGGTGAAAAAATGTCCATTTGTGTTGAATAGAAGTCGAAATATTTGCGATTGAGGGAGGTCAGGGTCGCCTGGTTTCAGAGGTGAAATTAGCGAGAAAATGGCCCTCAAAGTTTGGCAATTTCCATACATTGAGAGTCCTTGGGAACTGAAAATTTACATTTTTTTGGTCCTTTTAACCAATGTAAAAATGTGTGCTTTTCTGTGAAAAAAAGGGATTTTATGATAATGACTGTGTTGGTGATTGTTTTACTGGTTGAGAAAATGTGTACCGTATGTTAGTTGGGGGAGGGGTAGGTGGCCAACAGAAAATGGCCGTCAAAGTTTGGCAGTTTCCATAAATTGAGAGTCCTTGGGAACTGAAAATTTACATTTTTTTGGTGCTTTTAATCAATGTTTTCCAGTAAAATCCATGCAGAAATGTATTTTAATATGGATATAAGATGTTTTCTGCCAAAAAAAGAAAATTAGAAAAAAAATTGCTGAATGGCAAGAAAAATGTCAATTTCTTTGATTCAATGTTATTTTCACGAGCGCCTGATTTGAGCACAATGCGTCACCTTTTCCACCTTCCACATACCAATTAGTACAAAGTAAACCAAGAGATTTCCATCTCTCCCGGTGAGAGCGTTTCATCTGTTTATAAATTATGCATGATGCCTAATTGCGTGTTCATTTTACAGATAGGATTTTGTTATCTCTTATAGAAAAGAAAGATTCTGAGAATCTTTTTGATACAACATAATTGTGGTACTTAAAGTTTGAGAACTCCAAAGTGGAGGGTTTGTTTTATTTTTTTTCAATTTTTAAAAATAGAGTTAGAGTTTTATCAACTTCTTTCTGTTGTCTTCTCTGGTTAAAGGTAAAGTATGTTCGGTCACTGTATATGTGTTTTTCCGTTTTTTGTGTGTTTTTTTTCATTTTTTCATTACATGTGTTGTTTTCTCCTTGACCGTAAGATTCCAATAAAAGTAAGAAACATGTACCTGCCTGTTGTGTCATATTTTGGGGTGTACATTATCTCTATCTATAACTGTCCCAGTGGTTTTATGCACCCCGCATAATTTAGCAAAATTTGATCATTTTTTGCATAATTTCTGATTATTTTCCTTTATAATTCTTTGTTAGAATCAACAGAATTGCCAAATTTCAATTGTTGGGCTCAGTTTGCTTAATTTCAGGGGGTTTTTGTGCATAGAACGGAGGGGACAGCTGTTATAAAGGGGTACCTACACTTAACGTTCTTACGGTGGAGGTGCCCAATGAGTCTTATATTAAAAAAATACGATTTTAATGAGTCTTTTATTTTAAAAAAATAATTTTTATGTCTTTTTTTTATTAAAAACATTTTTAATGAGTCTTTTATTTTTTAAAAATTGTAATGTCTTTTATTTTTAATGTAAAATTTTTTTAAGTCGTTGATTTAAAAATAAGAAATTTTAATGAGTTTATCTTGTTAAAATAATTTTAATGAGTCTTTTATTTAAAAAAAATTTTTTTTGATGAGTCTTATTGAAAAGAAAAAAAATTATTAGTTTTTTATTAAAAAGATTTTTTAAAATGATTTTTATTTAAAAAAACAACTTTTATGGGTGTTTTTTAAATATAAAAACAAAATTTAATTTAAACATAAAAAAAATAAATGAGTCTTTAATTTTTAAAAGTAAATTAATGAGTCTTTAATTTAAACAACATTATTTTTTAGTGAGTCGTTAAACATTTTTTTTAATGAGTCTTTTTATTTAAAAAAATAATTTTTAACGAGTCTTTTATTTTTAACAAAAATTGTCACTCCCCTATTGACACAGTTTCGATCATTTAGGAGGCAGGCTTCTCACCCTATATGTCGGGATCAAGCTGGGCCAAGAGGGGGGATACAACACCCCAACAGAAAGAACTAGATACTCGATAGAGATTCGTTCACCTTGAGAGTCCTGCATGCTTTTTGGGTAAGGTTTAGTTTTTAGTAAGAGTAAGATGGCACTCGCAACACAATTAGGTCCAATAAGTACTGAAAATATAGAAAATTTGGATGATGAGCTAAAAAATATTGGTAATGAGATTGAAAAGTTTGAGTGATACTAGGTATGAGTATGAAATAGAATATTAATATTGAGGATGAGTATTGGGGATGAGGTAAAAAATATTGGTGATCAGCTAAAACAAGTTGGGGATAAACTAGAATATATTAGGAATGGGCTAGAAAATATTCAGGATAAGCTAGAAGATATTATTGATAATCTAGAAAATACTGCAGATGAGCTAGAAAATACTTGGAATGGAGCTAGAAAATATTAGGGATGAGCAAGAAAATACTTTGGATGAGTTAGAAAATATTTGGAATGAGCTAAAAAAAACAACTCGGGATGAGCTAAAAAATATTATTGATGAGCTAGAAAATATTAGGCATGAGTTACAAAATACTGGGGATGGGCTAAAAAATATTAGTGATGAGCTAGAAAATATTTCAGAAGAACTAGAAAATACTGGGGAGGAGCTAAAAATATTGTGGATGAGATGGAAAAGTCTGGGAAATATTGGGGATGGGCTAGAAACTATTGGGGAGGGGCTACAAAATATTGGGGATATGATACAAAAATATTGGGGATGAGCTAGAAATTATTAATAGGACATTAGGATCTAAAAATATTGGGGATGAGATAAAAAATCTTGTGGATTATATATTATACAAAAGTCTTGGAAATATTGGATATGAGCTAAATTTTAGGGGGAAGGGTAGGATAGAAAAGTTTTGGGATGAGCTAAAAAATATTCTCAATGAGATTTAAAAGTTTGAGGAATATTGGGTATGAGATATGTGAAATTAATATAGGGGATGAGGTTGGGGATAACATGAAAAATTTTGGGGAACAGCTAAAAAGGTTGAGGATAAACTAGAATATATTAGGGATGAGCTAAAAAATATTGGAGATGAACTAGAAAATATTAAGGTTGAGCTAGAATATAGTGGGGATGAGCTAGAAAATATTAAGGTTGAGCTTGAAAATAACAAGGATAATCTAGAAAATGCTGGAAATGAGCTAGAAAATAATGGGGAACATTCGGGATGAGCTAAAAAAAATATTAGGCATGAGCTAGAAGATATTAGTGATAATCTAGAAAAAACTGAGAATGAGCTAGAAAAAAAAGTGGAATATTCGGGATGAACTAGAAAATAATCGGAATGAGCTACAAGATGCTAGTGATAATCTAGAAAATACTTGGGAAGAGCGAGAAAATTATTAGGGATGAGCTTGAAAATATTGGAGATGGGCTAGAAATTATCACGGATGAGCTAGAAAATACTGGGTACCGCTGGGGATGGAACAAAAACATACGATGGAGCTAGGAAATATTGGGGATGAGCTAGAAAATAGTGGGGAATATTGAGGATTAGCAAGAAAATACTGGGGAACACTGCGGATGAGCTAGAAAATACTGGGGATGAGCAAGAAATTATTACAAATAAGCTAGGATATACTGGGGATGAACTAGAAAATATACGAAATGAGGTAGAAAGTAATCAGAATGACCTAGAAAATAGTGGGGAATATTTGGGATGAGCTAGAAAATATTAGGGATGAATTAGAAGATATTAGGCATGAAACAGAAAATACTGGGGAAGAGCTACAAAATATAGTATGTGATTTAAAAAAAAAATATTCTGAATGAGCTAGAAAATAAGGATATAAAAATATTGTGGATGAGAAACAAACGTCTTGGCATTTTTGCGAATTATTGGGGATGAGCCAAAAAATACTGCGGATGAGCTAGAAAATATTTTATCGATGAGCTTAAAAATACTGGGGATGAACTAGAAAATATCAGAGATGAGCTAGAAAATATTGTGAATGAGCTAAAAAATAATGAGGATGAGCAAGAAAATATTAGGGGTGAAGTAAAAAATACCGGGGATTAGCTAGGAAATGTTACAGATGAGGAAGTG